ACATATATTTAGTAATGATATATTTAATAAAAAACTAATAATATTTATAAAAACTTACTATTGTTACTATTAATTTATTAATTAATTATCTAATTAAATTTATTTTTTAAATACATAAATATAATTTAATAATTTTAGTTTTTTTATTAAAAATATGTTAATTATAATTAAAATATTAAAAATTAAATTGTAATTAATATTATTAATTTATTATTAAATTTAAATTAACACTAAAGTTGGCATGGAGAAGATGTTACGTTATCCAGAATGTATTGTCTTCAAGGCATTTAATGGCTGCCTCAAGAAACCAGCACAAACCATTGAAGAGATCAGAACCTGATGGAAGTAACAGTACAGTCTCTCTACCATGCTAATCTTCCTCTAACCTCTTCAATCTCTCGACTTCCGACCTCTCTTTTTCAATCCAAGCCTCTTCTTCTTCATTCTCCTCATTCATGGAAGCCACACCAAGCTGTTGGTGTTCGGATCAGCGCCGTGCAATTCAGGAATATTTCAGCTCTAAATGCCTCCTCCAATGGCGATTCTCCATCATCAACCGATGTTGCAGAAACTGAAACGTGGCTTCTTCAACCTGTTGGTCAGTCGGTCACTTTTTTCTCTCCTCTTCTTCCTAATGTTTACTCTAGTCGTGTCTTGTTTGCTTGGATGATGATGATGATGATGATCTCTGCTGTTTGGGATTATAGGCGATGGGGATTCGAGGCACATAGGTTATAAAGTTGAAATGCCAGGTGCTTTTGAAATTGCCTCTGTAAGAATCGCCGACTTAAATTTGATTTTACTGTGAATTTTGTTTTTCTTTAGGTGTATTCGTCTCTCTCCTCCATACCTAACTGTAATTTCCTTGAGAATAAATTATTATGTCTAGAATGATGTTACTGTTGGCCGGCTTCCTCAGAAGGCAGATATGGTGATTCCAGTTGCAACTGGTGATTCTCTTCCCTGTTTAAATCCCACTGAAAATGTGATTCTTATTGAATGTTATAGGGAATGTTAAGCTGATTAGCAACGTCCGAAATCTTAGGGATTTTTCTTGTTTCTTCATTAATTTGTTCCTATTTTTCCTCCATCCTTGTTCCTATTTTATTCTTGCTCTCATCTCTGCTTATACAGATTTCTAGTACTGCTATAAATGATTATTCTGCCAAAAGAATCGATTTCATCAAACAAAACTTTGTAACAGTGTCTGCTGTGCATGCCCGCATTCAGAAAGAAGGAGGTAACCTTCTGGTGACAGATTTGGATAGTACTAATGGAACGTTTGTTGACGAGAAGCGGCTGAGACCTGGACTTGCTGTTCCTGTGTCTTCTGGAAGCTGTGTTACCTTTGGTACATCCTTGACTCCCATCACCCACATTGAATTCTTCAATGCATGTATATAGGTATATGCAGTTAGCACAAACTTGCACATTAGATGCTTGTAAAGTTTAAGAAATGTTTTAACACTTGGTGAGAAACCAAGCTTGCAAAGCATCAAGAAACAATATGTTTGTTGCGTTTGCCATATAGGGTACATTGATATAAACACTTTGGTAAATTTTCGTTGATTAGAACTTGTAAAATAGATGTGGTCATTAAGTAAACTTCTGTTAATTAAATTACAGAGTAAAACTCTGAGTCTCCCTTTTGCTTGTTTGCTTTTTTTCCTTTTAAGGGATAACTGCTATCCCAAGAAACAAAGGGAAGCAAACATGGTGGTATGCATGGACAACTCTTTGACCGTCCCAATTAGATAGAGCTTCCCTAGTTAAGGCTTGAACAACCAAATATATTCTCTAGGAATCCAAACAAATGCAATATAAAGAAAAGACTATCTTAAATCACATACATCTTCGAAAAGTTAACCAGATTAAGAACTAGGAGCAGAGGTAGAAAGTAGAGCTTTGTAAACCATCTGGGAATTATCTTTTGCTTTTTATTTTCATTCGATTCCAATCTAATTCCTCAATTTATTTACTGCACTGTTCTTGTATAGTAGATAGATGTTTGAACCAACATTCTCACAAGATAAATTTTCAATTCCTACCTAATCCAGCAATTAACTAAACGGAATGTAAGAGTTAAAATGAGAACTGAATTAAACAGAAACTTTAAATTCTTTAGTGATACATAAATACGGAGATTTTTTCCCACTTAAATCTAGTTTAGGGGATGTAAAGCAGGAATTCATACGAGTAATTACTTTCTTTCATGTAACCTAACCCTCCATGTATCCAAAAAAATCCAATAAGGCTTCGTGCTTTACACAAGTCTCTGAATTTTAGTTCCTTGTGTTCTCAGTAGCAATTGAATGGGATCTTATTTGTGCATGTGTAGAAATTTTATCCTTATCAAAATTCTCTATTAGGAAACTGTTTGGTATATCATCACTGGCTTAAAGGGAGTTTACTTTGTTTGTAGGGGACACTCATTTTGCTATGTTCCTTGTTTCGAAACTAGAGAAAGTTGAACCACAACAATCTGAAGATAAACCAGAGTCTGATAGCCTAGCTGGAAGTACCGATCAAACCACTAGTTAACCTAACGAAGGACCTCCGAACTACATTTTTTCCCCGAACTGTTTGTATTCTCACGCAATTTCTTTCCTTTGAATCTGACGAGGCATTAAAATGTATAATTTCCCAAGAAATGAAATCTTCTCCTTGTCTTCTGTGGAAAAACCTGAAAACATTTTTTTTTTTTTTTGGTATGTTCTTTCGTTACATGTAAATTGATTTGTGAAACATATATAAGAATTTATATAAGTTGAATTATTAGTCGCTTGATTTAAATATTCGAAAAGAGTAGTTTTACCAATATAACAATAAAAACGAAAGATACTAAAAAATTTTCTTTCTTTAAACCATCATCTCTTTATTTCATTGTCTCTACTTTATTTCAATTAATTTTTTCATGATATTATAAATGCATCTTGGTATGAACTTCTTACTTAAAAACTCGGGATACAATATATATTATTATATAAGAGCTACAATCAATTCCGACCTTAGCTCAGTTGGTAGAGCGGAGGACTGTAGTTGTAACATGCTGGAATCCTTAGGTCGCTGGTTCGAATCCGGCAGGTCGGAATTTTTTTTTAAAAATCAAATTTCGTGGTTTTTATTGAAGGTTTCCTGCCACCTCCAAACTAAATTAGTTTATCAAATCCAAAATTCATTATTTATATAAATTAATATTTTTATTATTTTATATAATTATAAAAAATTCTTTTTAATTTATATTATATGTGTAGAACATAATAAATTCTTTTTAATTTGTAAAAACCACGGTTTTCTAAAATTAGAAACTTTCTCCAATTTCACTGGTTAAAAGAAATATTTTTTTTATTTTATAAATAAATTATAAATAAATCGCATTCTAATGGTGGAGATACTTTTTAAGAAAAATTACGACACTAATGCACATAACGTTCTCGTTCGTAAGATCAAATATTTGTTATTGATTATATATTTTTTTATTTTATAAATAAATTATAAATGAATCACATTTTAGGTGTATACTTACTTCTTAAGGAAGATTATAATACTAATGCACATATCGTCCTCGTTCGTGAGATCAAGTATTTGTTAATGCAGAATTGACATGTTCGAATCCGACATGTATATCGTAAAAAAAATAAATGCGCTGACTCAACTGTAGAAAAACTTTTGAATTGCGAGGTACCATTACGAGCTCAATATATACGAGTGTTATTTCGTGAAATAACTCGAATTTCAAATCATTCACTTGCTTTAGCTACTCATGCTATAGATATGGGAGCATCAACTCCGTTCCTGTGGGCTTTTGAGGAGCAGGAGAAATTATTGGAATTTTATGAAAGAGTCTCGGGAGCCAGGATGCATGCCAGTTTCATACGACCAGGTGGAATGGCACAAGATCTGCCTCTTGGCTTATGTCGAGATATTGATTCCTTCACACAACAATTTGCTTCTCGTATCGACGAATTAGTAGATATTGGTACTGTCACTGCACAGTAAGCAAAGCACTAGGGATTCAGTGGTGTAATGTTAAGATGTCGTGCAACATGAAGACATTGATAGCAGTATAGGGGAAGTTCCCATCAGGCAAGAACGATTCAGAGTGACCCTACGCGAATGACTTCTCTTTACAGATGGACATCTATTCTTATGTTTAAATGACATGATTTTTAACAACTTTTCATTAATGATATCATAAGTGTTTTTTGATTTCGGATGTGCATGACAATTTTTTAATTTTTTTTTTTTACTTTTATCCCTCTTTATCCTCAAAAAAGATATAGGTGTTTTGTAAAAGATGTGCTTGGCAATATCTAAATTCTCCATATAAATATCTATAAGACCTTCCATAATTCCAAAATTGAGTTACATCTAACCTTTGGATTAGGATATTTCTCAACCTCCACAAAAGTCAAAGTTACATGTTCCATATATATATCTTACATTGTATCACAGAAAAACCGAGTTGATAAAAACAAAAATCATTAAGATTAAATTAAATTACAACACTGTGATTACCAAGAGAAAAAAAAAAAAAAAAAAAAAAAAAAAGTAGTGCAAGGAAAACTGCAATCTTCTAACTTCATAATTCATTAAACAAAAATCAAAATTTTCAAAAATGTTCTTAGAATACAAACATATCCCCCACCATACGAATGGGTTGTAAACCAAGCATAAAGGGTAGCTAAGTTTCAGAATCCAAGTATGGGGGAGGCATATTGATCAGAACTTAAATAGTTCTACACCTTGAAATCACACTGCAAGATGAACTTACCAGGAAACAAAAACCTAAGTTAAGCTTCAGCCATTCTATCGCCTTCGCATTCCTCGTCCCCCACCTCGGAAAGCACCTCCTCCACGACCTCTACCACCCAAAGCACTTGCAGCAGCCTCTCCCTGGGCACTCTCAGACTGCATAGTCAACCAGCAGAAAAGAGTAACATAGCCATATAACAAGCTTAATCCTTACATAACCGTTGTGTATTATACCACCCATGTAAATGGACCAAAAAATATAATTATATTTCCAGTATTAAAAATGTTTCTACTTGTATTAAATCATGAGGCAACCAGAAAACCATCAGAAGTCTTTCAGAAAGAACTCTCTCATTCGACCTAACAAGTGTATAAAACTTTTTGGATCAGTTGAGGAAAGTTTAATGGGAAATTACCAAATTAATCTCTGTAATTTGTCACGTGTTACGATTTGGATGATTTAAAAAAATGACTCGGAAAAATAATTTTGACTAATTAGTTAAGTAATTCTTTTAAAGTGTTTTTTAAAGCATTCAAAAATAGTCTATCCATTTAAACTTTTTTCTTTTAGAATGTAGAAAGAAACTAAGTGTCCAAAATAAATTAGAAGATATTAGATATTAAACTGTAACGAAAAAAATATTAGAGACCAAATCGTAACAAGTACTAAACTATGAGGATTAATTTGGTAATGTATCCTTTTTTTTGTTTAATAAGGCTGCTGTTATAAGCAGAAAGTTGTTTGCAAAACACTCCTATAAGACATTTAACCAAGAATCCAACTTATGAGCTAGTTCGACCCAAAGAAAAGCGAATTCAGAAACTATTTTAGAGTGCATTTGGCCCAGCATGTTCCATGAAAATTTAAACACGAAAAAGCATAATACCTTAGGGTTTTTTACTGTCTCGTCCACACTTAAAACAAGGCAAGCAGCTTCTGTAGCAGCATTTATTGCATTAATCTGCATGAAATGATTCAGTCACCACATGTACCATAGCTTGGAAATAGCATCAGGAGAATATATTCTGTTTCATAAGTAATTGAATCTTTGCAAATAAAAATAAAAAATAAAGAATTCAAAAATTGGAAAATTAACAAGCACCTTTACTACTGCTGGCTCCCAAACAAAGTTGGCAAATGAATCTGCAATTCCACCAGTGTTGATATCCACTCCATAAAGTGCCCCTTCACCTATTAAGAACATCCAGTTTTGTAACAAATAAGTTCCTTGAAAAGATGTTGGATGGAAAAATAAAAAAGGATTTTTATTTAAACATTAAGTATCCAAAGACTAGCTCTTTCACAGGAGCAATTGCACCTGTCAAGGATAAAACATGGCAAATACATCATACAACTAGAGAGATTCTCACAGCCTTATGGGCTGCAATTAAAATCTGTGGTTCCAGCTTCACAAAAGAAACAAAACCAAGGAATAACAAGAAAAAGGGAGAAAGGAAAAAGAAAAAGAGAAGAACAGAAAAGAGGAAATAAATCCAACCCTCTGGGAGTGCATGTTTCTGTCTTAATTTGTTCAGGACATCTGTTGCATCAAATCCAGCATTGTCACATAGCTGCCTTGGGATGATCTGCAATGTAAAAAGATGCCACATAAACATTTCCTGTCAAATATCTGTTATTGTCAATAGAAGCATGAATAGACCATCAAGAAAGAAAATAATTGAGCATAAAAACTACCCAGAAATCACTCACTAATACTAGCTAGCAAGGAACAAAACCCAAATTATGATGCCATTTTGATGTTTAGTTTAGGGCCTTTTAAAGAAGCATGGCAGCCTGTAGATCTTTGTGAGCCACTGACTCACATTTCTGCTCTCCCCTATCTACCTCAGTCCTACACTCTTCCTTTACTTTTCTATCAAACTCCCTCCCCCCATTCTCAAGTCAAATTTCAATTTTTTGTATTCAAAACACAAGAACTTGAGTTGCAATATGTGCTCGCTATAGCTTTCTTTGTTCAAGGCACTTTATAAAAAAAAATTGTATGTAATTGATGCATAACCAATAAAGAGAAATAAATGTTCCAGGAAGCTTTATATTAAAAGGATTTAATTTCCTTCTCTAGATCTCGCTATCATAATGTTTAATTAGCTATTTTGATTTAATAGATTTCTAGTTCTTTCTATTACAACATTTAATTAAATAGCTATTCTCTATTTAATAGAATACCTACATAGATAGATTTAAGTACCCAAGTTTAGTATCATTCATATGATTATTATACAAATATTTAGTATTGATTGACTATTGAGATTGATATCTCCAACTTTTGTTCTTAATATGTTTTCTCTATTCAAGCTTTCTTTTGTTCTATATCACTAATTGTTAAAGAATTAAAATATTTCTCATAAAGTGTATTCAAGAATAATATGGTACCTCCATATAATCTTTTCTACTATAGCCCTATATAGTTAAGTTTCTACTTAGTTTTCCTATTACCGCCATAAGTACCCTATAAATACATGTATATCTCAAGAGTGATAGAATAATAATATTTCAGTTAATTCTTCTAGTGTCGGAAAACCATAAACAGAAAACTAAACTATACAGGAGTAGACCCAGCAATGTAGGAGCACATACAAACTGTATAGAAGAATATACTCTATACGCTAGACCCCCCTCCCCAACCAAATTGGAAGTATATATCATATACACCTCTCAGGTTCACAACTGGTATTTGTCACCCTCTTTAAGAGTACACACAAACCTTTCAATGAAGCTCTCTGTTCCTATATTTCTTCCAAGGAACCGCCTCTGACTTTCAAATATGGTGTAATAGTCCTCTCTATAGTATCTAAAGAGACCCCCTACCAATATCCTCCAAACTTCTTTTTAATATCAATTTCTTTTAAACTATCAATTAACTTTCCCGGATGAAATGGCAGTACTTAGCAAGTTAGATCAACCTCCAGAGTTCATATGACACAAGCAAGAAAGTGATCTCCCAAACAACTAGTTATCAGCATCAACTAATAGCCAGAAAGTGATCTCCCAAACAACTAGTTATCAGCATCAACTAATAGCCAGAAAGTGATCTCCCAAACAACTAGTTATCAGCATCAACTAATAGCCAGAAAGTGATCTCCCAAACAACTAGTTATCAGCATAAACTAATAGCCAGAAAGTGATCTCCCAAACAACTAGTTATCAGCATCAACTAATAGCCAGAAAGTGATCTCCCAAACAACTAGTTATCAGCATCAACTAATAGCTAGAAAATGATCTCCCAAACAACTAGTTATCAGCATCAACTAACAGCTCCATCTTTTAAAATGGTAGGCAACTGTCAGTGGCACAGAAATGTATGAGAAATACCTATACAAATGTACAAGATAGTCTTCTCCAGGAAATGTCCAATGCTTTATAGACCAGATATAATTTTGTTTAAACTAACACTAACCGAGATTCCTTTTTAGCAAATGAATTAACAGTTCATTTTATACAACACATCTTTCAAGTCTTTCTACAAAATTCTTGTGCATATCTAACTACATTTCCATGGAAAAATCATACATGAAAGGTAGATATTTACATACCTCAAGAGCCTTAGCATAAGAGTTGATAAAAAGTTGAGCTTTCCCAGCAATAGAGCGTGCATGCTGCCTCAGATATCGACTTATCTCCATCTGGAACCAAAAGCCATTATCTATAAGATCAAGAACCAAAACTTCTTCCCATAAAAATAGTCAACAATTATGATTGATCCGTACATCAATAGCACCACCGCCAGCAACAATAGTAGAGTTCTTTAAAGCTCTTCTAACAATCATTATTGCATCATGTAAACTCCTCTCAGCCTCCTCAATGAACTGCAAATAAGGAATCAAGAAAACAAAAAATATAAACAGGAGCGCTAATTATATGTATTGTCACTACTTGGTTCCAAAGTATATACCTGATCAGCTCCACCACGAAGAACTATGGTGGCTGTCCTTCCAGAAGGGCATCCACTGAATATATTAAACCTCTCATTCCCAACCTGTCTTTCTTCAAAAATCTCACAACTCCCTAGAACCTGTAGACCAAAAAAAAAACGCCAACTATTTCGATTAGGATGGGACAGAAATTGTTAACAAATGAAATATCTAACAAAACATTTTTCATTTTGAGCAGGGAAAGAAAATGCAATGCATGACTTAATCAATTAGTCTTAAATAGGAAAGAAGAAACCTCATCAATTATGTCATTAACAGATGTCTGTACAGTTCCCCCACTTGCAGCAGCAACCCGTTGCAAATCTTCTTCAGTTACACGACCAGCACAGAAGATTTCTCGATCTGCAAAATACTGTTCCACAAACATAAAGAATAATGAACCTGTTGATTCAGAAATATTCTAGCACCAAAAGTATAAACGTCATTCTGATGTTAAGTGACATCACTATTCCTACATCTCAGATGCAAGACTAGTTCGAAAAGAACCAAGCATTCACATTAGCAGATACCCATAAGAAAAGATTTAAAGCACCTTTCTTCATTAAAAAATAAATAAATAAACTAAAGCACCATGATTTTTTTCAGGTTTGAAGTGCAAAAGTTTGCTCCTATCAAAAACCGACAACCATCACCATGTAGCAGATGAAAGCATAATTGTGCAATTGGAAAATTAAACAGTCATGATCTGTAACTACAAACTTACTGTTAAAATAGTGAAGACCCAGATAAGTACCCATATCAAAGAATAACCAAAAAAGACCTATAAATACTATAACATTACACTTTCATCAAAAGGACTCAGGGAAGAGTATATATGAAAATCCAGGGAGCTGATGAAATAAAATTTAAGAACTTAGAACAAAATAAAGTGGGCACCTGAGTCGCTAGGTCACCAATGGCCAGCCTTGAAAGAACAACTTTAGCCCCACTCTGCACGCATTTATCCAACTTGTCATAAATGATATTCCATTCTGCATCAACAATTGATTGATACTGAGATGGATCTTGAAGTCTGTCGCAAATTTCCAGCAGGGGTAGTTAGTGTAACAATTCAAGAAAGGAAGATAAATCCAACAAAGATAGTTCCTACCTAATCTCAGCATTTTCCTTTTCAGATTTTAGCTCTAACTCAACATTTAGTAGGAGAATCTTGGGATTTGAAAATTTCTTTGGCTGCTGCTCAAATCCCGCATAAGAAAATGTCTTCTTGAAAGCCACACCATTAACTAAAAAGGAGTCTTGCATGTTACCACCAGGAACCTGTTGAAGCAAAATTAATATATTGGTTTGGAAATGTCATATCCACTGAAGACCAAGCCTCCTCAGGAGACAAAATGACAAAAAAAATGAATAACTGTAATAGCCATCAATGAATCCAGGTAACTAGAATGCATAGATAGCATCGAAATCCAAAACCTAAAAGCTAAAGCAGATAATATGAATGTTAAGCAATTTAAGAAGTCAGAAGGCAGAATAATTTTAGTGAGGAATATTTTCATTAAAAAAATTATTGGGAGGAACATGAAGTTTACCATAGGATTTTTGCAACCAGGTTAGCAAGCCCAAATATTACATAAACTTATGCATAAAAGATGAAAATATTTGTGCTAAGCAACAAACAAAAGGTAAATAGACGAGAAAACATGAATAAGAACCCTATTAAACTAACCACAATATGAAAGATTACTTAGTGGCACACAGCAGACTTTTAGCATATAAGCTAATATTTCTCATCAACGATCATTTTAACCAAATCAGTTATTTCAAAAAAGCCACAGTTTACAGAAGACCTTAAATTCAGTATCCCCATAAAAGTTCATTTCACATTGGAATTTATTTTGAACATTATCAGTCATTTCAATCAAGATAAATTTCACAGCAGCCTTTTAGCATAAAATCCAATTAATCTCCATATCCCCATAAGATTTCATTTTTCCATATAGTCATGTACAATTGACAATAAAATGATCGCTGAAATAACATGGCAAAGGTAATGGAAATCAACATTAAACAGATACTGAAATCATAATGGGTCACAAATTGGTGGACTGATATATTTACCTTCTTTATTCCAATCATATTTAGCCTATCCTCATCCCCAATTGCGACAACAGCATCAACCACCATTGAAGCAAAAAACTCTTTCTCGCCACCAATGAGTTTTGACGACAGAGTTGTAGCAGCACATTTAGCTAGTAGGCTTTTCTTTTCTTCCAGACTTTTTCCCTCAATACTAACAGCCAGTTTTTTGATTTTCTGGATCGCCTGCAACATTATTTGTAATATTTAATGGTGACGAAACATCTCAATCGTATATCTCTTAAGGCTAGAAAGAAATACACAAACCAAAAATCCCGCAGTTCGGTAGCTACGAATCAAATTTCGCGGGTGGACACCATCTTCTATGAAAGGTTTGGCCTCCTTCAAAAACTCCGCTGCAAGTAGAACCACAGTCGTGGTTCCATCGCCAACCTGCATAACAAAATGAGTAAATCTCCACCAATGCGTGAATCGAATCAGAGTTTCTCATAGACCGAGAAGAGCACCTCGGAGTCCTGGGACTTAGCGATATCAACGAGGATCTTGGCAGCAGGATGAATGATGTCGAGGAGCTTCATGATTGTAGCACCGTCGTTGGAGATGGTGACACTGCCTTTATCATCGTGGATGAGCTTGTCCATTCCCCTCGGACCTAGCGTCGTCCTCACCACGTCCGCCACCGCTGTACAGGCGCTTATATTGCTGACAAGATGAGCCTTTCCCTGCGAAGTGTCCGTTCCTTCTTTCAACAGTAAGATCTGCGGTTGCTGCTCATTTCCACACAACAAGAAAAAATGGATTACTGAAAACTATACATGCGAAGAGAGGAAATGGAAAGAATGAAAGGTGTGAGAGCGCGATTCGTTTACCAGCATGGCTGCCATTGTTGTTGGTTGATCCCAAAGGAGGAAGCTAGGGTTTTGATTTGGGAAGATGGAGAGTGAAGAGCTGTATGTCCCGTAGCTTCTGGTATTTGGTGGGAGCGAGGGTTTAGTTTAGAGGGAAGGAGAATTGAAATGGGCCGAACGGAACGCACCGTTTTAACTCAACTCCCTTGAAGAAGTGAGTAGCCATGTGGAATTCATTACTTAAACTTATGTTTTAAATGAAAAATAAATTTTATTTCTCAATTTATTTAAAATTTTATATTTATTTAAATTTTAGAGTGAATTATTTTTTTGCTTAACTATAATTTTATATTTAATTATTAATAAACTATATTAGAATTTTGTCTAATATATTCTAAAAAAATCATAAATGATATAAAAATAAAATGAATTATCTCTAAAGTAACTTTTTCCGTTGAGCAGTGGTCCTTCAACTCAACACCGTTAAATTATTATGGTCGACTTTCATCCTTACTCAATAACTGAGTCTTATAATCAAGTTTCATTCTACCTTTTGCACTCGAGAGTCAATCTCCGTCCAGTTCGAGAAAACCTTTGCACGCTTCCATTACTTTTTGAGATACCTACGCTCCATAAAAATTATTTACGTAAGACTGTCTCTTGTTCCATAGGTCTCGATATAATGTTAGAATTTTAACTCTTTTAGAATAATATCCCAGTCTGATGGATAAAACCCATCCCAAAGGAGGCCTACTTCGGCTTCCGCCTAAACTGTGTAGGAAAAGTCCAAAGTCAATGTAGCATGCTAGGCGATTGAGAGAAGTTGAGTAGAAGAATATTAATTTGAGTAGAAGAA